TCAAATTAAAAAAAAAAAAAACATCATTTATTCAGAATAGCAGTAATATTTTTTAACCTATATTTAAAATGAGGAGTTTTTCTAGGACTTCGTGTCGGTTCTCCTGCCTCCTGCTGCTGCTCCGCTCAAGCTACATCAAATAGAAAGCATCTGCTTTGACACTCTGAGCTGTCTGTGCTTAAAAGTGAGAGAAGGAAGTAAAAATACACCCAAAAGGTACCGGGGGATCAAAGTGACAGGCTCTGTGGCTGCTGCCTAAACAGGACCCTTACAGTTTATGGTTAGACGCGTGCAGCTATTTTTGGTGCCTTCCCCTCCCTCTGCTCTCGTGAGACTCTGCCTGTATCTCAAAATCTCATTTTGGAAGAAAAATATAGCTTTTTTTAATGAAGGCGTGCTTCTAATTACTACCGTATCTGCATTCATGCTAGCAGATAATATTTTTGCCAGGCCAAAGTGTCAATTTATGGTGAGTTGCATTACGAAATGCAGCGTTTTTGTCATCAGCTCCGTGCACTAGAGTGACTCCTTCCCCTTCTGCCACCTCTGCTCAGGAAATGAGCTGTTAACAGCCAGTTCCTTATGGAGCCCTGCTCATTTATTCAGAAAATGATTGAACAAGCTCCTTCCAGGATCTCTGGCATTTCTAACTTCAAAAGGATCAATGGAAACCTGGCAGATGTGTTTTATTATTTTTTTTTAATAAAAAGCACATTGTTGGTTGATTCTCAGTTGTTCCGTGTGCAGGGAGTCCGCAGTCGCGGGCACAGACACCACCCTGGATATGCTCAGACAGCTGCTACAGAATGACATTGATTCCATCCTGAAAGTCAACATTTACTTTACCTGCAACTTTTTCCTTTTTGAACCCCTCCTCCTCTCCCTCTCTGTCTGTAGCAATATTTGATGTGATTCAAAGGGCTAAAATCAAAATCTCCGATATGCTGCAGCCCAAAATACCACGTATTTGCTCACTCGGGTTTCACAGAGGTCGTTAACCACCTTTGCTTTTCCCTGTAGCAACCGCCGTATCCCATCCTCTGGAATGGTCCGCGCGGACGTGGGCACTTCCCTTTCCTGGCTCTGGCCGCGCTGAGGGCCTTGCAGATAAAACCTAGCCAAGCTCAGCAGATCCCTGGGGATCCTGGTGTTGTCCTTGTTCCCTTCGGGATGCGCCGGGCTCGTGACCCCACGGAGAACCGCCGGGTTACAGATTACACAGCAGCTCTCACCAGTGAAGGACGGTTGGGCCTTTGCATCATTATTTTAGGTACAAGGTTGTTTATTTTTGTTAAATAACTTCAGAAAGTTACTTTGAAAGAGGGATTAAACATTAATCATTTTCTCTTTACTCCTCGAGTAGTTTTTTTTTTTTTTTTTTTTTATCTGTGAGTAGTGGAAATGGGCAGAATTACTGCAGATATTTGCCCTGGTCCGAACCCGGTGATGGATGTGAACTCTGTGGGATGAGGTGAGTCTTTGCCAGCGTTTGCTTCCACATGGAATGTAAACAGGCTTTTGTTAAATTAAGTTGGTAACTTTGAACATAAGATACTGAATTTGTGCAATAAAACACGAGGTGTCTTTGGCAGTGTTAAGGCTCCTGATCTCGGCACAGCCTGGGGTACCCAAGGCTCCCTTCTAGCTCGGCCTCTGCTGCTCTCTGGCTTCTTTTTCCCCAAATTCTTTAAATCCAGCAACGCTGGTTTAGGAAATAAAGCCTGACGGAGCCTTGGGATCCGCTCCTTAAGCAGGGAGCACAACACATGGGGCTCCCGCTGGAGCAGAGGCCTTTCCCAGGTGACGTCCCTGTTGGTGCTGGCTGCATCTGAGGATGAAGGAGAGGGGCCTTGGACACCGCTCCGGCCAGCTGGCCTCCGGATATGCTGACCAGGATGTGCTGCAGGGACTCGGGTGCCGAGGCGGATCCGCCGCTGCCGTGAGCAGCTCTTGCCAGAAGGACCTTGTGGACGAGGGGCTGCTGCCCGCACATGCGGAACGGGACCTGCAAGGAGCCGGGCGTCCGCAAAAGGACACCGCGGGCTGGCAAAATGCCAAATCCTCCCCGCAAAGGGGGTGCTCCGCGTGGAGATAGAATCAGGGGGAAAAGTGACTGCTTTAGTTGCCTTTCTGCCGGATCGTAGTGGTGCCTCCTCGCTGCCCTCCTGCCCAGGGACCTGTCTGCCTCAGTGGGCGCTCACTGACGCGGGCGCTGGCCGCTGTTTGAGGCTTCCCAACGGTGCTCTTTGGCAGGGGGTGAATGAGCTCCTCTGTGCTTGGCTGCCTCCGCGCGCGTGCCCGAGTGCCGAGGAATTTCCATAGAAAATATTTATGCAGGGATGCGGCAGCGGCCGGGCCGAGGTCGAGGCTCGGAGGCAGCGAGGAGGTGGGAGGAGGCTGGAGAGGGAAGCGGCATCGCGGAGAGGAGCCCCTTGGCTTTTCCTTGAGGCCCAAGAGGGAGCGGGAGGCGCAGGGCACGTGCTGGATGGTGCTGTGAAGCGGAGAAGCTGCTTCCCGTTGATTCGCGGAGGCGGAGGAGGAAGTGGCATTTCCGCGGCTGACAGCCGAGCTCCGCAGCAGCCTGACGCGGTGCCTGCTCGGAGACAGTCGTGCTCTCCAGGGAAGCCCACTAGTCCTGTGCCCTCAGTCGCCAGGGAAGAGCTGCCCAAGGAGCGCGCAGAAGAAGACACGACTCGGGGGGAAAAGCTGTGGGCACTGCAGCAACATGCGCTGGACAGAAGCTGCTGCCAGTTGACCTGCAGCGCA